ATATATATAGTTTGAAGGTATTTGATAGTTTTGATTCGTGAATTAGTAAAATAAAAAATGTTTAAATAGGTTTCCTCTTAAAAATATAAATAAATTAGGAAAAAAGGGTTTTGAGATATCTTGATGAATTTTTTTGTGAGGATTTCTAATCGTTTTTGAATTTATATTGAGATTAGTATAAATTTAATGATAATTAGACTTATTATTCTGGTGAAAAAAATCAAAATATTTTTTCTTTAAATTATTATAAAAATTTTAAAATTTGATGTACATATTATTTAGCCTTAAGGGTGAAATTTAGAGTTAGTTGAATTGAGCTCTGGCATCTAAGGTGAAGAAGTGAATGTATCTAAAGGCATCCAATAGTAAATAGTTATATCTCAACAAGGACAATACTCCTCTATAATAAACAAAACTAGCCAAGGAATCCATATTTCTCCATTTCAATATAATAGCTCCCAAACCCTTCGAAGAAAAAGTGCAAGTTTTCTTATCTCAATAAGAGGTCTCTCTCCTTTAACCCTCTAGCTAACATATTCCTCATGCCCATGCACCCTCTGAATCTCTCAACACTGTTCTTATTGACTATCGAATTTCTAATTTCCATCATGCATAATATATTTAATGGACCTTGTGTTGCCATCACTAAGGCTTCGTTTGAGACAGCTTTCTTACTACTTTTTAAAGCAATTTTTTAGTACAAAATTTTTAATTTTTGTACTACAAAGCTGTTTTAAGAAGCAGTAAAAAAATTGTCTCAAATGAAGCATAATCTCATAAATTCCTCCCAATAAACGTTGTGTTGTTGATCAGTGGGACTCATGCCCCTCCTCCAATCAACCTAATGAAATTCTCTTTCATCATAGTATATCAAACAGCCCAACACACATATCACTCCCATCCCATCATCATATCTCCAACATGACTCCTCTCCTCCCTATTCAACATCTCTCATCAATGTCCTCCCCCACTTCAAAGCCTTCTTCAAATTCCTCTACCCTCAAATAGGGGTGTTAATTTCGGGTAACGGGTTAGGTTTGGGTTGAACATGAAACTGACCAAACACTATTCGGGTCAACCCAAACCTGACCCATTTCGCAAACGGGTCAATTTTTCGGACATGAACCCACCACGACCAAATGACCCGGAGCCAATAAAATACTGCTAATTTTCGGGCCCAAAAATGGGGCAATCTTCGCTTTTCGGATCTAAAACGAGTCAATCTCGATTGACGTGTCAAAATCAAATTTTTGGGTCAAAGCGGATCAATTTCAGGTCAAGGGGTCAACCCGAACCCGACCTAATTTTTAAAACGAGTCAAATGTTGAACCCGAACCCGACCCATTTCAGGTTCAGGATGACCCTAACTAGAAATTTTTGGGTTGGATTCAAGTCGAATTTTTGTATCGTGTCAAATATTGACACCCATACCCTCAAATGCTCATAGCTTTGTTATAATTACTCTTTCCTTTGTGATCATTATTCTTTTCAAACCCAAGTTGACATCTTCTATAACATTTTAAGTTTGCATGAGAATATAACCATATCTCAATTATCACATGTTATTATAACTTTTAGGGCCTTTTTAGTTCATAAAAAAAAATGAAAAGTAAAATAGAATATAATGTAAAAGGAATGATGCAATTAATTTACAATGTTAAGTATTATTTGAACAAGTGTAAAATAAAAACAACTGATTATTATTTTTTATTTACATTGAAGTAAAATGAATGCAATGTAAACAACCGATGGCAAATGGTGACATCAGAATCAGCTTCTTGCGCATTTCAAATTTGACAAGAAAACACCAAGTTTAAAATACACTAGAAAGAACTATAAAGGAATTTGAAATTTACCAAAATTTTTAAACTCTTGCATTCAGATTACTCTACATACTTTTTCGGAGAACCAAAAAGTGACACAATTAGCATTTACTATTATTATATATCATTATTAAGAATATTCTCTTTATTATTCTCTTCATGTGCTCATGTATAGGCATATATTTGCTGGTACTTGTACCACAATCAAGCAAAGATGCAATAATCCTCATTCCCACCTACACAATAATTGATAGTACTAAGAATCCATAATCAATCAAAATATTATGCTCACATAGCACAACCACCTTGTCATAACAAAATCATAATATCAATTAACATAGTCAAATGTCATATTAAAAAAAAAAACAAACCAAAATCAAACAGAACTAAACTGAACACAATTTGAACAAGCATGCCATTTGATATACAATAGAAATACCAAGAAAACAAAAATGGTAAAAACTCAAAACTTCCCATCTGAGATGTATAACTCATCAGACATATGAAGTGTATGTTGTATCTGGCACTGGGTCGGTTCAATTCCATGTCCCCCAAATGCCCCCAAGGCTTCGAATAAATCTAGAACCGACCAGAACTGACCAATCCAGGCATGTTCTTAGATTTTTAGACAACTTGAGTTCTCCAAACCACATCTAATGGCAAAAAGGACAAAAAACTATGTAATATAAATATATTGCTAGCATCTCATAAGCATGCAGAATACAACATACTGATGTGTTAACCACATCTAACTGCTATTTTAAGAAGCAGTGAGAAAGTCGTTCCAAACGAAGTCTAAGTTGGCAAGAAGAATAAGGTTAAATTAAGCAAAGACTTTCTATATCTTCCTCATTAACTAACCTGATCTTTGTAAGTTAACCATGCTCCGAAGTTGTTTTCTTGGACTATTCTCCCAACCTAGGATGGAACTAATAATCCCTGTGAGATATGAATGGAAACATGATACCTCATAGAATATTACATTAGTATCATGGTTAGCTTGACAAGTCCTAAATCTATTACATATCATAAAAAACATCATTATCATCATCAAACTTCAAAAAGTACATTACAAGATAAGGATAGAGGATATTTCTTTTTTAAAATATTTTAGACAAATATTATTTCTTTTTTTGAATAGGTGTTGTAATAAGTTAACTGATTTTTTTGCTAACTTTGTCATTTTGGATGATTTTTTTTGGGATGACATTAGCTCTAATAAGATTTCTCCTTTTATTTCTTTGTTAAAGGAGGAATGTAATAGTTTGTTTATCAGTCCGTAGTTTGTATTAAGCTTCTTTCTTTAATGCTACTTAGGTCAGGCGGAAGAGGAGATCGATGACTGGAGATCAGGCTAGCGAGCACAAGCAGCTGGAGGTCGGACTCATCGGCTTCGACGAATGGGAAAGAGGTAAGTCTCCAAACTCTTTGCGTGCGTTTCCTTGCGGTTCTGAGTTCTTCTCTGCGTGTATGTGCGTCTCTCCCTAACCGTCCGAATGGGGAAGGATTATATTTTGTGTCGTGAATGGCGGTGGTTAAATCGTCGTGCCGTTTGGGTTTGTCGGTGGGGAGCAGTTAGAGTCAACAATGAAGAACTAATCATACACTCCACAGTACAAATGTAATAGTACATTGCAAAGCAGTATAAACTAATAATAACGTAAATGTAATGCAAGCATAAGTGAAAGGTCATTCATATTCATACCTGGAAATTTTTACGCTTCTCAACCAAAGCATCACTGTGAGAATAAAAGTAAGCATCGCCAAGCAAAGGTGCTCCAAGGAGTGGCCGCTGATAATATATCTATCGATGCTGTAAACTTTCATGTCAGCAAGTGACTCGAACCTTGAAAGAAGGTAAAATCCTGTATTAAATAATTAAAACTTATTAGATTTTTAAGAAATAAGAACCAAGTAAACAACAAATAGTTAATAGATTTTGTAGTGGAAATTCCTATTTTATGGCAGGGAAAACTCATGAAGCAGTGCTATTATGATTAGATACACAAAAGTACTTAAGGTTCTAGTTAATAGCCAAGGTTCATCAGACAGGACATTCATTTCTAAAGAGAGCTGAAAATTGTAAGAAACACACAGAGTAGACAATAATTATTATAATCTCAACGAGCAGTACCTATTCTACGATTCGGAAAACTCATAAAGGTATGCCTTGGATATTAGACAGGCAATACTGATAAGGTCTAGTTTAACAACTAAGCATCATCAGGTATGTGTTACGCGGGTTCACATACAGCCGGCCCAGCCGGCCAATGGGCCGGCTCAATTCCATTATAGGAGGCAGAACATAGCCGTCCCCCTCTCTGGTTCCACCAAACAGATGGGGCCCGCCCATCTATGTGATGTTCAAAATTGAATAGAGGGGGAGAGGCTAGGCGTTTAGGAGGGAAATCACTTTAGGAAGGTTTGGGTATTAAAGTGCATGAGGGAATTATGGAGGGGATATGTTTTGATTGATTGGAATTAGAGTTTCTTGGCGTTTAGGCTCTAGACTCTCTTGTCTTGAGATTTGGGAGAGAAGATCCTCCT